ATCTTTACTGACTCAGGCTCAAAGTCACATCCTGTGCGATGTCATTCCCAGCCTCCCCGAGCCCCTTCCTTCCTGTGTGCCTTGTCCTACTCTGCCTGTTGTCACCAGGTAACTGTCTTGCTTACATAACTGTCTTTGATGGCAGGAACTGTATTTTACTTTTTTCTGGTACCTGGCACAGAGTTAACACAGGTACCTGTTGACAACGAAAATCACCACCCTTCTCGCCCCATTAAGTCAGGGAGAAGTGAAATGAAGTTGCTTCTATGTTAGGCAGAGAAGAGCAGGGGAACACCATCATTTTCATTTCTCTTCTCGACTCCTCAACCTCCTCCCTTCACCCAACACTTTTTTTTAATCTGATGCTTAATCATCACATTAGCATTTTTAGTCTTTAAAATTGGCGAGGTAGAGAGCCCTTTCATCCCGGGAAGGATGCTGCTGAGTTAGCACTTTTAACTAGATCATGTAAAACTTCTTTGAGTATTTGGAACAGTGTTCTTCTTTTCTTTTCTTTTTTTTCCCCTCTTTTAGTGTGAAATGTTCACTGTAAGGGGTGGTTGTGTGGAAAATTACCTTGATGCAGCAGTAGCCTCTAAGTGTCCTCCCAGAGGTCACTAAACAGAAAGCCTCACAGGTAGACCAGATTTTTCAGAAGCTTGAAACGTGTGGCTTATCAAATCAATGAAAAATACCCAGAAGGAAGCAGCGGAAGGGGAGTGGGCCAGGGGACAGGTCAGGGGAGGGGAGAAGGATGGGCGACCCCACTGGGTTCCTGAGTTATGCCTTGTTGCTAGTTTTCAGTCTTTCTCTCTCTGCCCCATCAGCTTCCTCTGATGCTGTGGCTACATGGATGGGAGCTGAGGTTATAAAAAAAAAGGGAGTTAAAAAAAAGGGGGGGGTTCAGCGGATGGGGAGGTACCTAGTGCCAGTGCACTTCCTGTGTTGGAGAGACTCGGGCAAGTGCTTCTGGTCACAGCAGGAGTCCACCAGTTAATTCCATGAGCAGCGATGGGTTTTATGAGCATTTCTCAGAAAGAGTACATGTGGGGCCAGAATGGGAATGGGATGGGTGTCAAAGATGGCTGTTGGATAAGGATGACATAGCTCTATTCTTTTTTTTTAACTTTTTAAATTGATTTATAATCATTTTACAATGTTGTATCAAATTCCAGTGTTCAGCACAATTTTTCAGTCATACGTGGACATATACACACTCATTGTCACATTTTTTTCTCTGAGCTACCATAAGATTTTGTGTATATTTCCCACATAGCTCTATTCTGAAGGTGACATTTGTACATTATGACTTGGTCCTCCCATCTCATTCTAAGTGACACTCTTTGTTCAGTTTTTTTAATCTATGTTCAACATACTTATGTTTCATTTATTGGATCTACATTTAACACCTTTCACAGGTTTCTAACTTGCGATCTATATTTAACACTTCCTATGAGTTTTCTCCATCCCACTTGTCTTTCTCGTTCTTTTCTAGCAGAATTGAGTACTCTCAATACAGCAAACACATGTTATAATGGTTACAGATAGAAGTGCAGTGTTCACTGTAGGTTCTCTCTAACTGGTTTTCATTGGTTGCTCTGTTAACTTCAGGGGGAAAAAACCGCTACTGTAAAGTATGTGACATTGACTATTTTCAGTAATAGACAACTTGATGTTTATGTTGATTGGGAAAATCAGAAAAATCATAGAACCTGATATAGATGGAAAATACCCTCTTTACCCTCTTGCTGTGTGGCTAGGAGCAGGGTAAAGTGATTGACAGAAATGAAATGATGAAACTAGAAAAGAACTTGGAGATCATAGAGTTCCATCCTCTCAATTTCCTGATGTAGCGTGTGAGGCTCAGAGAGGTCAATCTTATCCCAGGTCACACAGCTTAGTTATCAGCATAAATGAGTAGTCTTCAGTTCCTTGAAAGCTGGTCCCAGTTACTGCCTCTATATTGTAAGAAGTCGTAGGATTACTTTCTTAGGTTCTTTTAGTGGCTGAATTATGGTAAACAGTTATTTCGAAAGAGCTTTTTTGAAAGAGAATGTACATAAAGTCTCAATTTATCAAAATAGATGTTTTTTTACATTTCACTCTGAGTGCTAATGGGGTCTCTTTACTTCAATGTGCCAATCACTTATAATGAGCAATAAGAAAAGCCAGCAAAAGAAATGTTCAGCGTTCTAGGAGGGTTGAGTGAACAGAAGCGTGGTTAGATTGGATTAATGACTGTTAGCTGGGGTGGCTTACAAGGAGAAGTAGGCTGAACTGGCACTGACAATCATTTTAAGTTGATCAGCACTGGCACTTAAGAAATACCTATGTACCTCCTAGTTTTCCAAAAGGTAACATACTACTTTCTGACTATAATATTTGTGGCTACTTGAAGTAACAATGTAAATGACATAAATGGAAAATACGTTAGTTGATTCAATGAATCCTTTTTGGATATCTGCTTCCTGCCAGCCATTAAGAACTGGGGATACAACAATGAATAAATAAGTATGCCTACTCTCATGGAAGTGGGGAAAGAAAGGAAATATGGTAAGAAACACAAACCAAGACTGTGATACGTGATGTAAGGAAGTAATTGATCACCATGTATAGACTGATGAGTGGTACGGAGAAACTAACCCAGGTGGCCCGTAAGACATTAATTGGTGGCCTGCATTGGAGTGAGCAGGAAGTTGCATTTGCAGTGAGAGCTGCAGGAGAGGAAGGCAAGAGTCAGTTGATGTGTGACCACGCAGGTCATGCTAAAAGAGCCTGATTTTATCCTGGAAGCAATGGGAAGCCAGTGGAAGCTTTTAAGCAGGAGACAGAAGTGATTCTGACTTTCGGTTTAAGAAGAGCGCTTTGGCTGCTGTGATGGAGATTGGAAAAGGGAAGGCAGTATGGCAGCAGGGAGACCGGTTGGGGAGCTGTTGGAGTGATGATGGCAGCTTGGACAGAAGTTTTAAGAGTGGAGTTGGGAAGAAATGGACAGATTCCAGACATGGATGCCCTCATGACGTGCTCTTAGATTGAATACAGAGGGTGGAGGAAAAGGAAAAATCAAGGACAATTCCTAGTGTTTTGGCCTGAGGAAGTGGGTAGTTCCATTTACTAAGACAGGAGTTCCCAGGAGTTGATAGAGGGTTGGGGGAGAGAACAAGAGCTCTGTGGGTGGATACAACTTGAAATGATCTCAGACGTTCCACATGGAGATATTAAGAAGGATATTGCATGTGAGTTTGCTGCTTGAGGGAGAGGTTGGGGCTGCAGATACAAATTAGGGGATCATTGGCCACAGGGCTTGGTGATAGCATCCAGGGAGAATTGGGTGAAAGATGAGGCCACGCATGTCTGATAGGACAGTCATACCCCTTCCCCCAGCAGGCATTGCTGGTCCAACATGACCCTCTTTTCACTGGGCCCAAGCTTCAGGATCCTCTGTGAGCTCCCTAGGCAGCCATTACGCATCAGTTGATTCCTAATGGATGAGCAAAAAAGGAAAAAAAGCAAGCATAGATGTTAATCTCTGGAACCAGGTATTTTTTCAAACATTCCCTAAGTAGCTGTCTCTTATCCCAGCCCTTGACAAAAGCTGACAGCACGCTACTTAGTAGTAAAGTAGTGAAGACCTTTGGGCAGAAAAGCAAAAGTCGTTCAGGTAGGTTTCATGTGGGTAGAGTGTTCTTGGGTTGGGTGTCTCCATGGTAGAGGCCCAACCTTGCTCCCCTCCGTCTGTAGCCTAGATGCTTGTGGCTGCAAGACTGTGATGATCTCCGCTGCAAACTTGAAACAGCAATGTGTAGAATTACAGGAGAGGAGGCTGGGGAGGCCCTGAGAAATCGCCCAGTCCACCCCCTCGTTTTGTAGATGAGAAGACTGAAGCCTGAGGTCAAGAATTCAAGGATTTCTTTCTGTTAAAAGCCACTCTTGAGGATGAGGTTCTTCAGGTCACATACGAGTCTGTGATGTTGCTCGGGAAACGCAGCCTTTGCAGTTCTGTGTTGAATTGTGCAGTCCTGGGAGAAAACCCAAGCAGTTATCACCCTACAGTCAGAGGACGCACTTCCTTGGTGTTCGATTGGCATCCCCTGAATCGTTTTCTCTAGCTCTGCTTCCTCGGTGCCCACTTTCTGATGCCAGGAAGTTTAGTGTAAAAGAATGAGATAACACCCAGTTTATCATGACAAGGGTGAGGCTGAGTATGGAATCGGGATCTCTCTCGTGGTGTGGATGTTGCAGAAAGATTCCTGTCCAGCAGTGGGACCAGCTGGACTCACATGCCTCTAGGCCTGCTGCACTGGCCTCAACTTGAATAAATTTTTCATGAGGACCGTCACCCACTGCATATTTATGGAGAAATTCCAGGCACGCTTTGCAACCGCGAGCCTGCCTTGTATTTATTCTTCAAGTAAAAGCAGAGTTGTCCGGCGTTATTAGTAGTAAATCTCTCCTGGGGACCAGGCGAGGACAGGTTTCCCTAGATGCCTTGTGGGAAGAAAGTTACTGAGGTCACGGGAGAAGTGAAATTGGAGCCTGCCGAGTGGCACTGGATCCTGTTATATGCAGGATTCTCTGAATTTTGGACCCCATTCATCTGCCTGCCTCTTCCTTTTCTTACAGCAACTTAATCTCTCTGCAGCGGGCCAAATTGCTCAGTGTCCCGTCAAAATTCCTGCCACAGGATCACTGGCTGGCCCATTGTGAACTTGTCAAAGTGACAAGTGGGAACAGTGGCCAAGTTGGCATTTCCAGTCTTTGCATTGAAAGCAGGCGGCTGTGTGGAGTGGCGGGTGGCACTTGAAAATGGAAACTGTTGACGAGAGGGGAGAAGGAAAACACACCCTGGATCCCCTAGACAAGGCATTTCTAATTGTACGTCTTTTCTCCTCTTCCTTCTCGTATTCCTCCTCCTCTTTTCCCTGCTGTATTTCTTCCTTCCTTACCCCCACCTTCTGTTTCCCCTCCTGTTTCTCCTGCTCTTCCTTCTTGACTTCTAGATATAGAAAGAGAGATCCACGCAGCCCCTCACGTGAGCGAGAAATTAATCCAGCTCTTCCGGAATAAGAGTGAGTTCACCTTTGTGGCCACCGTGCAGCAGAAGGCGTCAACTTCAGGAGTGATACTGTCCATCCGAGAGCTGGAACACAGGTAGGAATGCGCTTTCTCCTCAGAATCGACCTGGATTAATAGGTGATACAAAGTGCCTTGGGATTCAGAAGGGTGTAGCTCCAAGAAAATATCCCGCTGACGGAGGCCTGGTGGCTGTTGAACAAGTGAATGGATTTACTCTGCGTTGAGAAATACATGTTGAGCAAAGTGGTTTTCTTATTGCCTCTCCAAGGACCACTCGGTGTCTTTCTCATCTATTTTTCCATCTTCTGATAGACTTTGCTTACATGAAACCACATTCTGTCCATCATATTTAGGTCATCATTGCAAGTTAGTTATATTTAATAATAACCTTCAGTAAGCATTTCTCGTGCGTTGTATGCAAGAACTCTGCTTGACACTGGGACTATTATGGGAAATGATACAGATTTTTATACTAAGGATCACGTGAATAAGCTAGTAGGGAAGATGGACAGATGAGTAACAGGAAGGGTTGTAGACAGTGCAAGAAACTTGGGTTTAGGGACTAAAGGTAGTAGTTGTCAATTCGACTAAACTTTGGGGTGAGCCAAGAAAGGCTTCAGAAAGGGTGATGGTTGTATAAGGAAATCAAGTGGGTAGATGTTTGACAGGCTGCATAAGCAGTGAGGGATGGGAAGAAAAGCATTCCACAAAGAGGTGGTCATGATTTTTGGGAAGGAGCAATGTGTGTAGGTAAGTGGGTGGCACACAGAGTGTGTATGGGGAAGGGGCTGTGGAGCTTGGGGAGGCTGTGATGGGTGGTCCTACAGAGGTGTCTGGAAGACAGATGATTTCGAAGCTTTGATGTCACGTTGAAAACCTTGGACTCCAGTCCCCAGATAAATATAATGGGAAACCGTGTAAGGGTTTAAGGTTGAGAAAGATCACTCTGTTAGGGAGTGATGATTGGATAATCGAAGACAAGGTTGTAAGCTCCTTTCTGGGGGATGCTGGTGAGCTGTAGCAAAGCAGAGGGAAGCAGAAAGATTGTGTTCACCAGCCTCCGTTCCCTGAGAGCACCTTTTGTAGGCCCCTCGAAGTGGGCCAAACCAGAAGCCTGCTCCCCAGGCCAAAGCCCCTGGACTCTTTCATGGGAAGACTGGGGGTGCATTTCAGTCTGCTGTCTGTCTGTGCAATGCCCTGGGTGGGGGGTGGCCTGCCCAGGACTGTCCCTGACTGTTAACGGTCTCATAGGATCCAGGGACATGAGCCCACCTGGGCTCCAGAGCCGGGTGATGGAGGGTGTCCCCTGGGTGGCAGCTGTAAAAACCAGGGCAGCAGGTGGTGTAGAAGCTTCCTTCTGGGAGAGCATGGTCCTCTGGAGCGGGACAGAGACAGAATGTGAAGACGGCACCTCCCGGTCTTCCTTCTGGGTGGTTCCAGCAGGCTCCTGGAAGTGTGTTAAATTAGGTGCCTGGCCCTCAGGCCAACCGTTTATTATAAGCAAATGAGCTTCTTTCATTTGACATCTGGGCACCATAGGCTGCCTCTGATCCGGGCACCGAGGTGGGTGAGTCCCAGCATGTGAGCTGTTTTTCAGCTCATGACCGCCTTGTGGGTCTTGTGGACAGGTGCCCTGCTGGTTTTCAAGGCTAGGCATTTGGGGACTTGCCTCTGAGGTGCACGTCTTAAGAAATGGGGTGCCTCATGTGGGGTTCAAACTCTTGGCTCCTCAAAGTGAAACTCCGGGTTTTGAGTTCCCTTCTGTCGGTGCATCTCTGAGCCGGGGGTTGGGGTTATGGTGAGACTGTGTCCCAGCCTCTGTCTGCTTTGATGTAGCTCTTTCCTTGTTTGCCCCATGTGTTCAGTCAGCCTCTAGGTTTCTCCCCAAGGAAACTGTTTCACAGAAAGCTGTGGACTCTGTGTCCAGTGGAGGAGGTGAGTTTAGGACCTTCCTATGCTGCCATCAGAACCTCCCAGCCAATTTTGATCTAATACCAACTTTATATTAATCCATTGAAAAAAGCAGAGAACTTTCCAAAGTTGGTGAGAAGTAAGTGGAAGGGCAGCTGATGTAATAGAGCACAGGCTTCAGAATCAGACCTGATGAAGGCTGGAGTTGAGGTCGAGCTTTGTGATACCTGCTGTTTTAAGTCTTGGGACCTCAATTTCCTGGTCTGTAAATTGGGTTAATTACTTTGCAGGGCTGCTGTAAGGCTGAAAAAAGATAGCGTGTGTTAAGTGTACAGCTCTTAACAAATAGGTGTTTCTTCTCCTTGTCTCAGCTTAAGACTTGAAACTCCATTTTCTGGGTTGCTCTTTTGGAATCTTAAAAAAAATCCAGATCTCACTTTAAGAAAGGTTTTAAAAAATTTTGTGTTGCCACATAGTCATCTGAGGCTACTTTCTCTTACTTTCATGGCAGGTTTCTAATAGAACTTGAGGATTACTGAATGGAGAAGCATCTGACCATTTTTCCTTGTAATAGGAAAACCTCAGATCTTGACTCAGACAAAATAAATATGAAGGAATAGAATTGGAGGGGAACCTATTTTTCTGCATTCCATGGTGCCTTCCTCCATGTTTGGTCCAGTCGAGGCCAGGTGTAGGAATTAACTCTGGATCTGTAATGCCCTGGCTGCTGGAACTAAAGACGATCTGGTTTCCATGCTTAAGGAGATTAACATCTAAAGAGAGACTATGGCATTCAGGAAACAAGAGAGGAATATATGATGCTGTGTATTTAGGAACGAGGCTTTTTATAATACAAAAGATGTTCCCATTTGTAATATGGTAGAATCTTTAATCATTTTCAGATTTCTCTTACTGTTTACCAGGGTAACAGAGTCTAGAGAAGCCTTGTAGACATGGGGCCTGGACGTTTGACCAGGTAGAGATGATGGGGCTCTGGTTTATTCCACAGCAGAGGATCCAGGGATCTGGTAGACTGGATTGGTAAACTGGAATCCATCAAGGATCCCATAGATGTTGACTGGATTCCCAGCTCCTTTTTTTGGTTCTCTCCTGTGTGATCCTCAGTGTATATCACTCATGATCAGGGTGAATTAAATAAGCATATCCCACAGTTGTGATATAACAGACTCTATTAGATTCCTAGCTCATTTTTTTGTTACTTTAGTTTTTTTAGTCTATTCAAAGTTATGTGTTAACAAAATCAATTTAGCAAATTTTCATGACCTCCAGAAGAAATGCCTTAGCTACCACTCCCCAGTCTCCCCATCAGTCCCCTAGACTTAGGCACTCACCGCTCTGCTTTCTGTCTCTATTTGTCTATTAGGACAGTTTATATAAATGGAATCATATGGATAAATGGAGTATGTGGTCCTTTGTCACTGGCTTCTTTCATTTAGGATAATGTTTTCAAGGTTCTTCGTTGACAGTGTGTGTCAGTTGTTCATTACTTTTTATTGCAGAATAATCCATTGTTTGGATAAACCACCTTTTATTCATTCATCCATTGATGGACACGAGTTATTTCTGTTTTTTTTTTGCTATTATAATGCTGCTGTGAACTTTCATGTACAAATTTGTGTGGACATATACTTTTATTCTCTTGGGTATGTATTTGCTGGATTGGGTGGTAACTCTGTTTAACTGTTCGTGGACCTCCCATACTGTTTTCCAAAGTGCCTGCCCCATGTTACATTCCCACCAGCAGTGTAGGAGGGTTCCAGTTTTCTCCGTGTCCTTGTTAACATGAGTAATTATCTTTCTTTTTGATTATAGCCATCCTGATAGGTCTAAAGAGATATCACACTGTGGTTTTGAGTTACATTTTCCTGATGACAGCTTACGTTGAGTATCTTTTCAATCCTGGCTGCTCTGTATCTTCTTTGGAAAAATGGCTTTTCAGATCATTTGCCTATCTTAAATGGGTTTTTGTCTTTATGATTTCATAATAGTAATTCTATGTCTGTTATTGGATTTGATTTACAGCCCCCCCCATTTTGTAGATTGTCTTTTCGTTTTCTTCAGGGTTTTCTTGGAAGCACAAAAGTTTAGAAATTTGATGTCCAGTTCTTTTGTTGCTTGTACTTTTGTCTAAGAAATCGTTGCCTAATCTGAGGCTAAGAAGATTCACTACTGTGATTTCTTTAAAACGTTTTATAGGTTTAGCTCTTTTGTTCAGGTCTTTGATAAACTGAGTCAGTTTTTTCTATGTGGTGTGAGGTAAGAGTCCAGTTTAAATTTTTTTTTTTTTGCAAGTAACCAACCAGTTGTCTTAGCTCCATTTGTTGCAGATCAATGAATTGTCTAGGTACTCTTATTGAAGATCAGTTGGCCATAAATGAAGATTTATTTCTGGACCCTTTGTTCTATTCCATTGAGATATATGTTTATTCTTCAGCCAGTACTGTTTTGATTATTGAACTTTGTGGTAAGTCTTAAAATTTATAAGTGTGAAACAAGACATGCAGATGGCTAACCTGCACATGAAAAGATGCTCAACATTGCTAATTATTAGAGAAATGCAAGTCAAAACCACAATGAGGTATCACCTCATACTGGTCAGAATGACCACCATTAAAAAATCTATAAAACAAATGCTGGAGAGGGTGTGGAGAAAAGGAAGCCCTCCTATATTGTGGGAATGCAAATTGGTCCAGCCACCATGGGAAACAGTATGGAGGTTCCCTAAAGTAAAAATAGGGCTACCGTATGATCCAGGAGTCCAGCTCTGTGGCATAGATCCAGAAGAGATATACTTCAGAAATGCAGCTGATGTTTTGCTTGTTGACCTTGTCTTCTGCAGCCTCGCTGACTTCTTTTGTTTAAATAATTTTCTTAGTGGATTTCTCAAGTTTTTATTCATAAGATTCGGTCATCTGTAAACAGAGATACTTTAATTTCTGTCTTACCTGAATGCCTTTTGTTTTATCTTCTTGCTGGATTGCCCTGATGAGAACTTCCAGTACACGGTTGAATAGAAGTGTTGGGAACAAGTTGTCTTGTTCCTGATGTTAAGGAGGAAAGCATTCAGTTTTCACCATGAGGTATGATGTTAGCTATGGGTTTTCTTAAGTGCTTTTAACCACGTTGAAGACGTTCCCTTCCAT